CATCCAGCTCTGGGATCACAACACAAGAAGGATGTGGACCTGTTAGAGTGAGTCCAGAGAATGCCATGAAAACACTCAAAGGGATGGAGAACCTCTCCTATAAAGACAGGCTGAACCTTTCAGTATCTCAAGGGGCCCTACAAGTGAGCTGGAGGAGGACTCTTCACAAGGACATGGAGTGACAGGACAAGGAATAATGCCTTTAAACTGGAAGATGGCAGGTTTAGATCAGATACTGGGAAGAATTAAGAAGTGAGGGTGGTGAGACACTGCCCAGAGAAGCTGTGGATGCCTCATCCAGTTTAACTCAGGATGGGCAGGAAAATGTTACTCTTCTATGGTTAGAACAAGATACAGTAGGCATGAGTTAGAAGAAGCGATACAGAGTTCTGCTTTCGAGGGGAAGGAACATTTATGACCCCAAATCTACTAGGGAGAAAAACCTATTGCAGAAATAATTGTACAATTCAATTCTATTTAAATTACTAAATTTTAAAATATCTTGTCATGGCCTTAACAATAATAATGTTAATAAGGAGTTGTACGAGTTTTTGAAGAACTCAGGCAGATAAAAAGTTTAGAAATGCCTAAGTGCCCTTTTTAATGCTCTTTTTAGCCATTCGGTCCAAAATGCAAAACTTATTCTGTTTAAACCTTTGAATCTCACAATTCAGAAAACCAGACACTTCATACTTCCCTGTGCACCGCAGGACCTCATCAGTTCTGTAACCTGTTCATGTTTTTTTCTTTACACTTTACAAATTAGAAGCCAGACAGCAACAGCTACAGCTATTTTTCCTGGTGAAGACAACAAAAACATGATATCATTATTATAATGACATAATAATTATAATAACATGTAAGATTATATAATTCCAGATGAATATACCCGGAATGAATCTTTCTTTGCTTCCCTCCAGGATCTCCTACGATCCCACGAGATACCCTAAGTACATTCCCGAAGCCTACTGCCTGTGCAAAGGCTGCCTGCTGGGGATCTTTGGCGAGGAGAGCCTGCACTTCCGCAGCACCCCGGTGTTCATGCCCACCGTCATCCTGCGCCGCACGCCCGCCTGCGCCGGGGGCCGCTACGTCTACACCGAGGATTACATCACCATCCCCGTGGGCTGCACCTGCGTCCCCGAGCAGGAGAAGGAGGCACAGAGCGTCAATTCCAGCATCGATAAGCAAGAAGTGAAGTTGCTGGTGGGCCAGAACAAGCCCTCATCGGAATGAAGAATGTATTAGAAGTCGTGTTTCGGTACTGGCCTCACATCACCACCTCAGGAAACTGTGCTGCAGCAGCAAACACATGCACTCACCCTCTTTTTCTGCTTACAGCTATTTCAGATATAAGGTGGAAAGTGCAGTCACTCAGATCATTAGAGATGGCAATTAATTCCATTTCTTTAGCTCGTGTAAACTTGTTTAGTTCATTATTGCAAACTCCAAAGTAGCCTTTTTTTTTCCTTAGAGCAGAACATTTTATCTTTGCTTATTCACAGTAAATTTTAGAAGATGATGCAACTGTAAGACATGGTAGCTATTACTATCGCAGGCTACTGGTTGTAGATATTTTTGAGGAATCTTTTATATTCTACTTTTAAGTACACTTGTATAAAAATCACACAGCTGCTGTATATATAACAAATCAGCAGTTAAAAGGATAATTTCTCAGGCTGGGAGAGCCTCCCTTTATACTGCATAAGCTCCAAGCTTTGCCTCTGAGCTGTTACCTCTTTGGCTAATTTATACACTGCAGCAAGGAAACTTTCGCTGAGTTGGCGTCATTCATGAAGCAATATTCTATGTGCTTGCTATTTTTAAACTTGCCAAATTGCTAACGGTACAAAGGTGTTGAGAAAAAACATGATAGAATATTGTAAAAATGCAGCAGACTTTCTTGATGTGGACTATGTCTAATTACACAGAAAATATCAAGTAGGTAAAACACAGTTTGGGTCCCAAGAATTCTGTATTTGATTTCATCCATCATTGACTACTTAAATTCCTTGTGATAAAACTGTGTTCCATGCAGCTGAAAGGCCAAAACCTTTCTCATTTTAGGAGAGGAGATTCCCCATTAAAAAGTAAGTACCAAGGATTGGCTTCACCTCAGGTGCGCTGCAGGTGAGTAAGCAGGCTAGGTCTTAACTTCCAGATCCTACAAGAGGTCATTGAGTTGAGTCCCAGTCAAACTAAACTTGTTAAATCCACCTGATTTTGACAATTACTGTTACTCATTTCTCCTTATGCTACATGTAACAGAAGATCAGCACCTGCAAAAGCTGACTGGGCAGCCTTCCATCTGTGCAGCCTACTGCAGATGGAACTTGATGGCAGGCCTCACCAGAAACCCTGCATGCACAAAAACTGGCATTTCCAGAACAACAGACTAAAGCTGACTCAGCCTAGTGAATGAGAATCAGCAATGACCAGGCATGCCTTGCACAAACAGAATTCCTCAGAGAGCCACACTCACCAAACGGATAAACCTCTGAATGCACAGCAGAGAGTCTCTTTTACAGATGAAGGATCATGAGGGCAATATCTTTGCAGAATAAACATCATATGCAGCAATGTATCTACATAATGCATCTTGAAATTTGCCTTAATTCATAGCAGAGAAAGCCCCTAAACTACACTAACACACTCTTCTTTGGAGTGTTGTTGGATGAAGAATGGAAAGACTATGAGTTAATCACAATTAACAAGCTGAAGACAGAACGAAAGTCATGACAACTCCATGTCTTGGTGCATCATTATTGATTGTGCTGTCTCTGACTCAGTCTAGCATAACAGTATTTTTCCAGTGCAATCTGTGAAACCTCTTACAAAGCCTCAAATAACTTTAAGAACTCCAGAAACTAATAAAGATTCCCATCACAATGTCAGATTGAAGGTTGTAGCTGTGTTTTTTGTGCAGATGCTATTCCTCAATTCTCCTTGTCTTTAGATCTATTTCCTCCGATTGTGATGCTTCTATCTCAAGGAGATTCTCAAAGGTGAGCTCAGAGATGGTCAAAAAATGTTTATCCTACTCAGAGAACAGCTAATTGCCTGGCTGCTGCCAGCAATTACAGGTAGTTACCTCTTCCCCAGAGAATGAAAATACTTGCAGCAGTTACAACCTCTTTTCCTTCCTCCTAATGTGGAGGAACTTCTCACCCCCTGAGCAGAAGGAAATGGTAATCAGAGGCTCAAAAGGGAGGCTGACCCACAAAACTGGAGAAACACTGCACTAGGTGATGTTTCAGTAGCTTGATCCCTTCCAGTTTCACCATTAGATTGTGAGGTTTTCTCCACATGTACGCTTATGGCAGCGTGAGGTTGAACCTTCAGACTCCAGGGCATAGAAAGCAAAGTCTTCACCCTAACAGGCAATAAAATAACCCCAAACAACAACAGCAAAATGTCCAACCATGCAGCACTTGGCATTTAATAGATACCCAGAGGGGCTACCAGCCAAGTCTGGCCAAACACTGCCCTCCAGCAGAACTCATTGTCTGCCCACACACTTTTGTTATACAAATTTGTCTGCAACAAATTAGTCATTAGAGCACATGGATGTATATTTGCATGATGCGGAGAAAAAAAGATCTCTTTTTTTTTATTGCAACTCTCTTGTCCTCCAGACATAAATTATGGAGTCATTTTGAGGTTTTTAAGTTCAGGGATTTCCTGGGAGGTGCAAGCTAAAATCTCGTAAATTGAACATAATCAGTTTCTCCTCTCCAGAAAAGTAGATGCTTTAGCTCATTGAAAGCTTCAGAAAGTGGATGATTGAAAGTACTTGAGAACTGCAAAACCTCCATGGATCAGTGGAGGGCTTGTGTTGGTGATGCCTCGTCACACTGCAACAAGTGCAGCAAGCTTCCCATGGTTCAGGCATCTTTATGCTATTTTGTTCAGAAGCCCATTTTCCCTTCTTAATTCCCCTTTTCCTCTATGACAGACTTTTTAGCTGAGCCAATTTGCTTCCTGATCCAGCTTTCCAGTTAGGTGTCTCTTAAAAGCTGTTTATGTTTTAGCACGAGCAACTGTTTGATATTTTGTTAGTGAGCAACTGTTTGTTGATACTTAACATCAAGAGCTATTAGCTACACAAACACTTGCTGGCCTTCAAAATATCCTTCCATATATCCTGTCTCTCCACATTACTCATGTGGGAAAGGTTGAGTGTTAAATGTAGTTTGCATTTGTTTGTAATTGTTTTTTTTTAACAAGGTCATCACATCATGGATTTATATCAGTTTCACTTCAAATGTGGTGTGACATTTTCCAGCTTCCAGCCCTCTGGTTACAGCTGCCACAGCCTTGCCTTTAATTTGCATGGGGGAGGGAGTGTTCTTTGGAGTTGCTTCAAGGCTTCACAAACTGTTGACAGAAGGAAGACATGAAATGCCTCACTGAACCAACTCCCAGGCCCAATAAATGCAAACAATTCAAAGCTAGAACTATCTGGCAGCTGCAGCTGATTTGAGAAATTTTTTTGTTGTGCCAGGAAAATCTTTTCCTTCAACAAGGTTGTCCCTGGAATACATTAGGAGCCACAAAACACAGAACAATATCCTTGGTAATGAGATTATTTTCTTGTCTGTGGTATCGCTTAAGGTAGTTTGGAAAATTCCTATCATTCAGGAAGGCTGAGGAAAGCCTGAGATGCTAGTTTGGGTTTCCTTGCCAGTCATGACCTGAAGGTGTCTGTCTGAAAAGGAGAAGATCTACAGCTACACATAAGCACGGAATTGCATGGGGGAACATGAACATGAAAGCAGCAGGAGGAAAAGGGGAAAAGGCTGTGATGTGCTCAGAAAGTATAAACACCCATTAATCCTGCTGGGATGAGGGAACAGCCATAACTGCCTGGACCAGGGTAGTAAAAGAGGCTGTAGCACACATGGCTGTGCAGTCATAAATGCCACTGGAAAAGGAGCACGGTGCTGACACTTCACCACAGTCTGTTCCAACAGAAAGTCCCTCCATGAGACACCCCCGGGAGTCAGTCACTACTTGACACGGACATTTTTATTCACAATCCTGTTACAGAAGAAAAGAGGGTTGTGCTGTCACATACTATTTCTTAGTTACCACACTGGCACAAACACAAACTCACTATGGATTTTGTGACTTGTACCCTTCTCAGAAACAGCTACTTCCTTGAATCAAGTAAGACAAGAATAGTTTACCTCCTATCACTGATGAAAACTGTAAATGCCACTAGTCAAACTCTGCTTGGGCAGCTGTGGGCACTCCCCAGGCTTTTAAGAGGGAAGCTGGTGGACAATGGGCTGCTCTGTTGAGTGCATCTGCACAGATTTTCATGAACCCTCAGTTCCGTAACTATGCATCTTCACAGAGCCCCTTTTCAAACAGTCTGACCTACATGTGAGAAGCAGCGGTGATTTTCTTGGAAGTGAACTTCTTGGTACAACTGAATGGTGCACTTTTATCTTTTTAAGAAATATCTCTGATGAAGTTAGTGAAGTTGACTTTTAACTCTGCTGTGGAGAGCCCAATAATACACATTTACCAAAGTGAAGCGAACAAAGCAGCAAAATAGGTGAGGCTTTGATTTGAACAGCACATTCTAATTTAGGTGGGTGGCAGGGGAACAGCATCATCCCTTCTGGCAATCACAGCTGTCCCACTTGAAGCCTCTATGCAGTTAAAAATGAAGTTTCATGAGTTACTTCATTGTCTCCATGTGTTTGGTGTGCAAGACACTGAGGTAATAAACCAGTTTAAAGTACAGGTTAGTGCCAAGAGCTATGCAGTCACCATTCTGGTTTGCTTTATTTTCAAACTGGCCAGATGAAAGTGATGATGTGGCCTCCCAGAAAACAACTAAACCCAGGTGTATTTCACCTGTGCACAGTCATTTTCAGGGGAATTCTGGCTCAGCAGCAAGGATGGCATCTGGTTTGAAAGGCAAGACTGTATGGGCCCTGGGCTCACACAGCAGAAAGGAGAGGCCGGTGCCTGCTCTGCAAGCGCTTCCTTGCTGAACTTCCCCTGTTTTTACAACAGCTGTGACCAGCCTGACAGAAACCAAGGCGTGTGAAAGAGGAACAAAACTGTTACCAGGGAACCCAGGAACACCACACGTAGGGAGGAAGTGACAGGTATAAAACGTGAGGAGGGTTTGCCTCAGGAAGCAAACAGATCTTTTGGAAAATGGGGAGGAGAGCTACAGTGGCCTGGGTGGGTATTTACGAACCACTGTTGTGTTCAGCTCAGACAAACACGCTTCTCTGAGCACTGGGAGAGGATTAGAATCCATCTACATTATTCCTGCTCAGCTGTTTATTCCTCCAGATGGGAAAATCTGCATCCAAACAGCAGAAACATGAGCATTATCACTGCCTTATAAAAAGTCTCATCTCACAAGCTTAATTAGGCTTATTCCCACCACACAATAAATTTAGTACTTGATTTTATGTGATTAATTTTGTAGATGCCTTTACACAGTATGACATACAAAGACAAGTGCTTGTGTTTTGTAGAAGGTTTCTAGAGATTATAAAAGTGTTGAGTGCCTTGAAATTTATGAACTAATTTCCACCCAAAAATACTTCTGTAGTGCAGTCAAAAGGTTAGCCAAAACTGGCTTTAAAATTCTCAGTTATCAAAAATCTCTACTTATGCAAAGCAAAGCTTTTCCACTGTATCATCTATTTTGATTGAAATATAGTCCAAACCTTGAATATAAAATCTAACATTTTTCTAGTTGAAACAGTGGGAGTTTACAAATATGTTATTCTTCAGTGGCCTTGTAAGATTCAATGATTTTTAAGATGCTTCTATTCTACTGCTCTGCTGCTGTCTGTGGAACAGGAGAAAAAGATAAAACCAGACAACTGGAAAAAAAATCATAACCATTCTTGTACCTGGACATATCTGTAGATCCTCTTTAGTTTGATACTGAAATTATTAAGAAGCAAGCATTATATTTAATCAGAGCCATTATGATTCAAGATTTAAGGGACATGTGTGGGTCACATTACTACAGAAGTATCACGTTCTTTGCCACTGATGATTCTGATGCCTGCAAGGCAAACAACTATATGTTGTTATAAGCCAAAATCACTTCAAAGAGGTCACTGATGTGTCCTCAAATGGTAAAAGCTACCAGTTAAAATGAAACTAACAAAGAAGTTTCCATTATCCAGCACCTGCATTGCTTGGTCTGCATTTACCTAATACAAAACACAGTGACTGCAAATGCTTACTCATTTAAAAGAGAGAGGCTATCACACCGTGTTGATTCCAGCCATCCCAGAAAACAGTACTCAGAGCTGACTATTTCAGCCCTGAGAAATGTGGCATGACTGACAGTAAACAGAAAGAAGCTTGACTGAAAAAGTTGTAGGTTTGTAGATGATCTTAGGAGAATCAGTCCAGTCCAGAAGCATAGTTCACATAGCAACGGAATTCATTGGCTAAATTTCTTGAGTGTTTTGGAATAAACTTGCACATCTTCACACCAAGATGCTTTGCTGCCTGTTCTTCCATGACTGCACCTGCAGCAAAAATAATTGGTATTCAATAAGAAAAAACATTAACAGAATGTTTGAACTTTTTAAATAGCTCCTCCCAAATGCATGCATAGGCAGCCTGCTTTTTTTAAGGAAGGCAGGCTTAAAGCAACTACACTCTCAGCCTTCCTTAACAACAGAATCTGTTGGGAAACTTAAAGTAAATCTAGAAGAATCCCAAGGAAATGAATGCCCAAGAAATTTCATAAAAATAAGTAGAGGGTATCAGTGCTGTTTTTATACAAACCAAACTTGAACTCAGTCTTCTTGCTACATTCCAAGGAAGTTAAATGGTAGGGAGCCGTGGGAAATGCAAACAGATTACATCTACTCTTTCACTTACATAAACCATGGAGTGGTATTTGCAGCTACACACTGAGAAATCCCTGCTTTGAGCAGTAAACTGAAGGACCACTTATCCATTCTAGGGGAAAACTTCTGAGAACCACCCTTGTGTGTGACGGCCATGTGCACTTAAACCAAGGAGCAGGCCACTTTCTTTTAATTTTTCTTTATTTTGCCTGCTTGGTTGCCTTCCCTCAAATTGTACATACAGAGGGGCTTTGACCTTTGCTTTTTGGAAAGGTTTCCTGGAGCTCTTCAGATAACAATACAGTAATAACAACACAGAAAAGAAGAAAAGCCACGATTTGGGTAGACACACATCACTTCTCAAAACAGCAAGTGCACCTTCCTAAAGAAGGACCCACAAGTACAGATATCTTGTTATCTGATTTTTGCTTTTATCACTGCCTTTTAATTCCTCCTGCTGTATTTCAATGCCTAAGACATAAACAACAACTTGCACCTATGTTTGCCATTCCCAGATTTCAATCATTGCAATTATAGAGTGGCCCTTCTCCAAGAAAAATTATATTTCTGGAATTTTGCTGGATGATCTTATAATTCCTCAAAAGTTTAGTAGAATTCATAATACCACAGGAAAAAAGTACTGACTTGAACTATTAAAACGCACTTCTGTTTAAAATGAAGGTTGAACTCAAGTACTCAAATAAAAAGCTTAGGACACATATTCCTCCTTAAATTGATGATAATTCAGCATTATTGAGTTAGTATTTGTCTCATGTAAGTCTGTCATTAGAAAGAGAGAAAAAACTACTTAAGATGACCTAATATTTTTATTAGTTATACCTGTGCAAAGCAGAATCTTTCCTTTTGTTAAGTATTTGATGGTCTCTGCAGTCTTTTGAAGACATTCCTCAGACAGATAGGGTGGATCTGCTATTACAATGTCAAAACTGTGTGGCAGGAGATTTTCAGGCAAGTCCAAAGGGTGGTTGTAATCATAGAAGATAAACTCTTCTCCATACACAGAAAACCTTCTGTCATACTCCAGTATACACACGGAAAAATCCTCACCATCCTGTTCTTTCAGTTTCTGGTACACACTCGGTGCACTAATGCATGCTATCCTGAAAAAAACACACAATAACTTAAAATTGTAATTTAAAAAGGCAAACAACAGCAACAAAACTCTACGGCAGTCCTCAGAGAGGCTTTGAGAAAACATTTTAAACATTAGTCCCAAAAATGTAAAGTATTCTTACTCCATTCTAACAATTAATTACCTTAGTAACAAAGTTTTAAGTATGAAAGTCATTAGTTGTTCAACCCCATGCTACATAAAGATCTTAAGCTTAACTACAGAGAAAGTCTTGTTTCAGAAAAGCAAGGAAGTACATTTAAAAAATGAAAAATTACTGTTTATAGAAGTAGGAAGAAAACCAAGTTTTTTCCATCTGTTCTACACAAACATAAAAATTAAGAAAATAATTACAAGTTAATAATGTGCTCTGAAGCACTTTGTATTTCTCAAAAAATTAAAAAGATTTATAGTAAACTTTTACAAGGCACAGGCTACAACATTCAATGAAATGACAAAGAGGAACATCAGTATAAACTACTAACTAAATAAAATCAAAGCAGTTCTGCAGTACCTCAGCTGAACAAAACTGAAGTGCAATGAGTAATGAATTAAACTGCATGCTCTTGTCTACATAGCAGCAAAATATTTGCAGAGCAGGAGACATGTTAAATCTACAACACAATTATTAAACCTACCTGCCACCTTTTCCAGCTGCCAGAACTGCTTCCTTAGCCAGGCATGACGCGGTTTCATCACTGTACCAAAACTGGCTCAGTTGCTGAGAAAGACAATGCACAATTACAAACAACATCAAATTGTCTAGCTGTGCTGTGCAGAGTTACACGTGGGGACTCATAACTGAAGAAAACCATAATCCACGACAACTTCTCAGTTCACAACCTGTAAAGCTGGAAAGGTGACTGCTTTCCTGACAGTCTTCCTACCTCTGTAATCTAGTGACATGCAGCAGGTACCTTACACTCTGTGTTTCCAAAGCATGAACTGCAGTATCAGGAAAACTAAGAAACCCAAACCACTCACAAGGTATTTCAAAGCCAACGTGCAGATGCACATTATTCATGTGTTCTTAAATTGAGTTCCTTCAGCAGACAAGGAAAAAGGCCCTTGAAAAGTGACAGTATAGAAAGACAAGGATAAGAAAACCAAATCAGAACGATCAGAAAAAGGAAGACCAAAAAAACCCAGCTCAGAGACAAATTAGAAATCAGTCTGTCACAAATGAAAACAAGCAGTAAAACAGCCATCCACAAAAAGAAAAGAAATAAAACACACACACACACTGAAAAAAAAAAAAAAAGTGAAAGGGAAGATCACTTGGTCTTGTTACACTATGTCTGTCTCAGACTCAGGGAAGAGTCTTTACTACTATCACATGCCAGGCTGGAGTTAAAATTTCCAGAAGGGACAGATGCTTCTGTTAGCAGCTTTATTCCCTCTCCAGGTACTTTCAGTTTGTACCCCTCATGCACATGTGGAGCAGACAACTATATCCAGATTTAATACTAAAGTAAATCTCCCTACAGTGTTGTCATCCATTAATAGCAACATCTTGTGCGTTCCCCTCTTTAATTTAATTTCATTTCATTATCCAGCCACAAAAGAAACTTGGTCAGGGCTACTCCTCTGTGCTGCACTCACTGAAATTTATAGTTTACAGTTTCTTACCCAGTCTTCTTCTATTGAGCCAATGGAATATTGATTAAACCCTTGGGAGGTCTTCATGCCCTCTCTCTGCTGCTGCTCCAAATAGAACTCCTGGAGGGCAGCCAATGTATGGGATGAAAGCTGGGGAATGTCGTCATCATCATCATCCATTTTCTTAGATGTCAACAAGAAAAAGGAAATTAATTAAATTAACCCTTTTCAATCGTGAATGTTTTTTAAAACAGCATAATCTTGTGAGGTAAAACAACTTCCACCAAGAATGCAGCTAACTAGGAAAACCTCCTAACTAAAGAAAACTTATTCTCTCTACTTAAGCACTCTTAAATCAGTGAGTCCAACTGGAAATAACAAGTCTCCACAGAGAATTCAGGAAGAGCAACAACACTGTTCCCTTTCTATACAACATGGATTTGGCTTGTGTTCTTACAGGGAAGTTGACATTACAGTTCTTGGTTTCCTGTGGATCTGGAAAAACCTATAGAAATTATTCCCTCCCTTCCTAGAAATAATGACAGCTATTGGTCATTCCTTCCCATGTTCAAAAGCCACACAATTTTGACTCCAAATGAAGTAAACTAGCATTCTATCTCAGCATCACCTGGTTTTAGCTTCCATGCCATAAAAAGATTCCTCTAAATGCCACAAACCTACAAGGGGAAAAAAAACCCAAAACAAACAAACAAACAAAAAAAAAGGCAGTCAAGAAGCTCCAAAAAGACACGGTATGTACCAGTGGAAAAGTACAGCCATTTTCAGAAAGCTGCTGAAGTGCGTGCTGCCAGGCAGCATCCCTGAGCCCTCTGACCCCAGGCAGCAGAGCAGCCTCTCCCCGGGAACGGTGCCACCTCGTGGAACGGAGGTGCCAGAAAGGACTCAGCACGTGAAAAGAACCGGAGAAAACTGAGGAATATTCTTCTCCCAAGAAACCCATTTTCCCTGCATCCAGCCTAAGGACCAGCACACGAGCAATGCCTTTACAGAGCCTGGAGATGCAGACAGGGATACGCCTGCGTGATGGAAAAATCACCGAGAACCGCTGGCGACCTGAACAGTGAGTGAACATTTTGAGTAATTTCAAGTGGAGCTGCTTGTGGCTCCTCTCCTCATTCCCTGAGTTACAAGGAGAGCTCCTGCACTGGCAGTCTCCTCCCCTTCCTTCTGCTCTAAAAAGCTTTCAAGATGAAGTTTCCTACAACAGCTTCTTCCTGCTTGCTGGAAAAATGGTACCTTCCCCTGGCACTGTGAGATAACTCTGCCAATTCCTCAGGAAGTTTCCTTAGCTTTCCTAAGGAAAGCTCTTATCTGCAGGACCTGGCTTTTCCAGAGTATCATTTACTGACTTGCTGGCTTCTCAGGCCAGGCTGGCCAAACAGGGAATTGCTCACAGCCCAAAGATCCATCTATGGCATCAGCATCATGCAAGAGAATTCCGGAGTCAAGCTACGTAGCAAAACCAAAATCATTATTTTCCCCCTAGTTTTTCATTGAACAAAACACAAATGCTTTAAGACTATTTACATTATCAAATTATGTATTATTTAAAATATTTGCTATAGAAATGACTGTATGTCCAGACAGATAACACAGTTTCTAGCCACAATGCTCTGACAATACACAACACTATGACCATTTTAAGTCCTATACAACAATTTATTTTTGTTAGGACATGGTAGAAATTTACAATCACTCCTTAACTCACAACATTTTTTTTATTAACTGAATGATACATACAGTAATCTGGTTTGCTATTACCCCCTAAGCAAGAACACAACCATGCTCTGACTCTAAGAAACTGAAACTGGTGGAAAGCTTCAGTTTTTAAGTCAAAAGTTGAAATTTTTTGATTTTCTGTTCAGTGAGCCCATACTGGCATTTGCAAAGACTAAATCCATGTCCATTAATTGAAACCCTCACAGATAAAGTTGCTGATGAAGAATCTGTCATTGTTTCAGAAGACAAAAAGGCATACTGCCATAGACATCTTTTATCTATTAATAATTTTTTAGTTGATTTTTTTAAACTCTTCCTTTTGGTTTGTAAACTAAAGCCTTAGGAACCAAGAAGTAATTAACTGTGAGGATTTGCAAGGAGAGGTAACTCAGAACATATGGTAGAAATATTACATACAGCTATTACAAATGCCTCCAAAATTCAATATATTTTCCTGAAGGTATATACTGACTCAGGTTATTAGCATGAAGACATTCTCATGCTTCAGAACTACATCAGAAAACCCTTAAAGTGAGTTTATGTGTACAAGACTTGTAAATTCCTTCAAGGGAGAAAGTCCTACTGCTTGAAATCTGTTCATTATTTCTTCCATGAAGTTCACTGCTCTCAAGTCCAAAAGCAATCCTGAAAGTTCTGCGGGAGGATGGGAAGGAGCACAGAAGCCCACAGTGCCTCTGGCACTTAGGGAATCTTTACACCCGTAATTCCCAAGGCCCCTGAGGCTGCAGCTGACCAATCCCTGCTTGCCCGGGGTCCCTCCATGCTCTGTCCTCACACGGACACTCTCTGGAAGCCACAGAGGGGACAATCAGATATCCAAGAACAACTCAAGAACACTGCAAAGGTTTAGAAAATGATTCTCATGGTGAAGCCATAGTTCACCTGAAGGAAAACACCAGAAAAGGAGGTAAGCTCCCACAGACAGAGTGGAACAGGAACAGGCAGGGCTGTGTTCCTCGGGTAAAATGGCAGATTTGAATGCTACTGGTCCCTAAAGAGCCAGATCTACCCATAAACCAGGGAAAATGGGGTGAGAGGTGTGGCCTGCAGTGCAGCAGGCAGGATGAAGGGGGGAGGTCCCTGCAGACTCCTCAGTCCCTTCCCCTGTGCACAGATCAATCTCTCTCTTATTAGCTGATGCACTGTTCAGGCAAATGTTCACTACAGAGTGAAACCTCTGCAAAGGAAACAAAAACTAAACTAAGAGAGATAAGAGCAGCACAGGAGACTCCAAGGCCTTGTCCACACAAGGATGTTGAATGTATTTAACAATATAGCGGTTATGTATGAAAAGTCTATTTTTATATAGCCAAATTCTGAAATAGAGGAAAAAAATACTCAAAGTTAAAAGAAACACCATGGAAAAATTACCAGTCTGGTCCCCAGTTTTTCACCTGTAGTTATGACCACGTCGAGAACAGATGATAAGAAAACATTAGGAAAGACTGCTAAAAGGCCATGGAATAGCAATACATCTGGATAACCATGCTGTTCATCACTGGGAAGGAGGAAAAGGACAGTGTTAGCCCTTTAGATCTTTTACTAAGAATATAAAAAGCATATGTGCAACTTCAGAAAAGATCTTATTCTAAGAGTAACCTTGATCAAAAGACAGAGAGCATGAAATGGAGTTAAATCTAGTTGTCTGCGTTTTTTCCAAGCTGCCCAAGTCAGTCTCTGAGACAAGCAGCTCATGATCCACGGTGTTTGTAGCACACACCGAGAAATGCTGGCCCGTGGTGGGCAGCCCTAATGAAAATCACCTGGAAGGGGCTGCAACCACCTGCCTGGAGGCAGGGAAGTCCTGATCTGATACACTGGAAAGCTACTCAATATCTGGACTTGTGCCCTGATACCTCAAAAGCCAGAATTTCACAGTGTGTCAAAGTCACACAGTAAGTTCATAGAAGAGAAGCACTCAGAGGATTACCAAAACCGCAGAAACTGCAGCGGATTAACAAAGTCAAGTCAGGGGGCCTGGTGGCTACTTCAAGCAAAAGGAAAGTATGATGTGTGCAGGCAGGGCTCGGGATAGCCGGTCCCCTCTACACGTGCCTGAGGGGACACGGACGGTTCCGGAGGCCGGGACCTTTCCTGCCGTCCCCTGCCCCGTGCTCTGAGGGCACCCTGCAGCCACACAGTCCCCGCGGGGGGCACGGGGTGACCCCGGCCAGCCCGTCCGCGCCTGGGCCGCCATCGCCCGCGGGGTCTCGCCCCAGGCCCCGCCCCCCGCCGCGCGCGCCGCGCCGGCCGGGGACAGCGCGCCCCCTGCTGGACGCGCCGGGAATGGCGTGTGGGCCGGGAATTCCGAAGGCCGGGACCTTTCCTGCCGTCCCCTGCCCCGTGCTCTGAGGGCACCCTGCAGCCACACACAGTCCCCGCGGGGGGCACGGCGTGACCCCGGCCAGCCCGTCCGCGCCTGGGCCGCCATCGCCCGCGGGGTGCAGCGGTGATGGGTCGGAGAGGGGGAGATGATGGGTCGCTGAGGGGGCTCCGCGCCGCCCCGGCCCCGCCGCACCCCCGGCCGGCCGGGAATGGCGTGTGGGCCGGGAATGGCGTGTGGGCCGGGATGAGGGACGGGATAGGGAGCGCAGCTGGGCTGGGGCCAGACAGCCTCAGGCACCCCGCCTGCCACACTCGGAGAGCACAGGCGTCCCTCGAGGCAGATGGCAAGTGTTCAGCAGCCGCCAGCCTCTGACTTGCGCCCCAAACTGGTTTTCTACATCCGGCTCGCCTGTCCCGGCTTCCCATTTCTATTCAGCTTTAGCAGGGTGGAACAAGCTCCCTTTCTTGCATACAAACGGAAGTCGACCCCATTCTTAGATGCTTTCAAAAGACAGCAAGCTTTAAAATACCTTCCTTGTTTAATTTCATCAAATCATAGAATGGTTTGGGTTGCAAGGGACCTTAAAGAACATTTAGTTTCAACCCCACCGCCGTGACAGGAACACCTTCGACTATCCCAGGGTGCTTCAATCCAACCTGGCTTTGAACATCTTCAGGGACGATCCACAGCTTCCCTGGGCAACCTGTTCCAGTGCCTCACCACTGTCACAGTACAGAATTTCTTTCTAATTCCTCATCTAAACATACTTGCTTTCAGTTTGAAGTCATTCCCCCTCGTCCTGTCACTACACACCCATGTAAAAAATTTCTCTCAATAGTTTTTGTGGGCTCATTTAAGGTACTGGAAGACCAATTAGGTCACCCCAAATCCTTCTCTTTTCCAGGCTGAACAATCCCAATTCCCTTAACCTTCCCTCATGTGAGAGGTATTCCCTGCCTCTAATCCTCCTGGTGTCCCTCCCTGGGACTTGTTCCGACAGGGCAATGTCCTTGTGCTGGGGACCCCAGCGCTGGAAGCAGTATTCCAGGTGGGGTCTCACTAAAGCAGAGGGGAAACATTTAATTCACTATATGTTTCTCTTTGGTCATAAAAACTTCCCACTTTCCTATTTCTCACGTGTAGGCACAACATGCTTTTCTGGCATCTCTCATGATCTCACTGCCCCAAGGCAAAAAGCTCTCCCATTTTTTTCACTCTTTCTTTATAAAGTCTGATGTTTGTGAAAGTCATGTGCATAGTGTTGTCTCTCTGGCACTCAGTGACTCCCCTAGAATCCAACTCACAGGAGGTTGCCCATCAGATTATTTAGCCCAACAGCAGGCTCTCCTCATGTTCTCCAGAGCCAGAAGTTGTATCAGCAGTGAGCTGAATAAGAAACTGCTGTTTTACCTACAGCCTGCTCAGTCTTCACCTGCCACAACATTTCACTGTGGCTGAACAGAACATCAGAGGCTCAGCACTGGGCATTAATGAACAGAACTACTGCCTTGGAAGACAGAAATACTAAATTAATGATAAAATATTTTTACAGCACAGCTTACATAAGCAGCAGAGAAACAATTTTCTTGCCAGCACCGGATATGGGGATAAGCCTATTTTTCCTTCAGATCTCCATATTTTTAACCTCCCTCATGTGGAAACAAAGCTTTTCACGAGAGCAGAGAACTGTGGGCATTTTCATTTGGTTTAAAAGACTTCTTTGCATCTGGATCTGGCATTCAATGCATTACCTACTTTGTCTTTGAAAGCTCTTGACAATAAAGGTCTTCATCCCAGCACAGAAGACTGTCACATCCATATCTATTCATGCTACCAGCACTGCTGTAATTTAAAACAAACCAACCAACCCCTTTTCCCTGCATTGTGGAAAGTGACAATTGTCTTGATATTGATACCTGTGTAGCATTACTGAGTGCAGCAAAAACTGTGGTTTAGGTACTACACTGAAGTGACACTTCAGTAATTTTCCTATTTCATGCATGTTTGTAAGGCATTTCACATGAAAAACATTCTGCACAGGGCTGATAATGAAAGTAGAAATGAGACTGGGATGACACACACTCCCAGTCCAGATTTCCCAGAGCAGCAGAGTGCCCCTTGGCAAGCAATTCCTGCTCACCAGCAAGGTTGGACAGATCACACAAGGGCACATGGTTGTGGGGGGGCTTGGGGATGGGCTGACAGGGTGACATTATTTAGGTTATGATATCAAATACTACTTGGCAGCAAACACAGTCCTTGCTTGAATCCTGTTACAAGACAGTTCTAGAAGGAAAGCTCCAAAGGAGCTCAAGTGACCCTGTAGGAAGGAAAGAAAACAGGTTATCTCTGGATGCAATTTCTTTGGGATGCGAGGACAAATAAAACACAAACACAGAAATACCTATAAAGGGCACCCTGAAAGAAATGTCTTATTAATAACTGGGTTTTATTATTCCCTAATA